GTCAGATTAAGAGGAAAAATGGGTCACTGTAGAGCTTAGATGTGGAAAAGATTGAAGGCATCCACAAAACCTGATATACTTTTGTTTCCTGGCTTCTCAGTGGCCTAGGTATTGTTCAAGTTTTATACTGCCCATACTGGCTAGATGGCAGTAACCTTCCAGTATCTTTTTGCAGGTTTTCAATAGCTCCCTCAAGAAAAAATCAGTCTGTTTGGTGGATTAATGTCACAAAACTAAAAAAGGTTTTTGTCAAGGTTCTTGTCTAAGTATACCTGTCTCTTCTTCAAAATTGCTCAAGATACCCTACGTTATTTTTGCCATATTTTTTATTGTTGGGCAGCTACAGTGGGTGGGACCTGACTCAGACCTGGCTGGTACCTCACTTTCAAGATTAGAAGGGAGAAAAGTGACTCTTGTAGTCTACATGTGAAAAAAGAAAAAGAAAAAAAAAAGGAAATTTGCTTCACCAAAACAGGGAAAGACAATTTAGAGCAAGGAAAGTCTATTAAGCAAGGACACGCAGCGTTGATTCAGCTGTGCAAGACTCCTTTGCCTCTGAGTTGTCCACCGTGGCTCGCCAGTCAAGTCTCTTGGGGCAACCAGAGCTCCCTGTGGCTTTTTTGGTACTCAGATTACTGGGAAGCTGTGTGAGTGACCTAAGCCTTTTATCCCGTGATGGTTCTGATACCTTTTAAGGATACAAACTAGTACAGCCCAGATGTAAAGGACTCAGATAGATATTCCTTCTACCAAATGCTACTCCTTAATGGCAAAGTTTAAAACATTTTCCAAAGGACCATCACCACTTAAAGGGTTGGGCTGTTTATTGGCAACTCTAATCTTAGAGACACAAGAAGCCTGGCATGGGCAGCACTGGAAAGAAAACTTAGACCATAAAGAAAAGGGAAAAACATAATAAAACAAGCAATATGATGTCCTCCTGAAGGAATGAGGAAGAAAGTTCAGAAATCTCATTTCTAGCCTCTCCCCTCACTCCTAGTGTGTCTAAATGACCTGGTATATGTGATGGGTGATTTCAGATCTTCCCAGTTCACAGCAGATCTCCTAATAAAAGAAATGGCCTTGAGCAAGAGCAGCACCACGAATGTCAGGGCTATAGGCCCAAACCTGGACCCCCCAATATATCTACATCCACACATACACACATATATACATGTATGTGACACATATTAATTTGCCTCCATCTATTTACAGTGGATAGAGTGCTGGGCCTGGAGTCAGGAAGACTCATCTTCATGAATTCAGATCTGGCCTTAGCCACTTACCAGCTGTATGACCCTGGATAGTCACTTAATCATGTTTGCTTCAGTTTCCTCATATATAAAGTGGTCTGGAGAAGGAAATGGCAAACCACTTCAATATCTTTGCCAAAAAAATCTCAAATGAAGTCACAAAGAGTCGAACATGATTGAAACGATTGAACAGCAACAATAATTGCTCTCTAATTTTTGACCAATGGTTTTGATGAACATGTACCTTTCTCTATGGTAGAAGTTATTACCATATATAATAATCCTTTCAATATGAGGCAATTTTGTGGACATATTGCCTTGACTATCAAAAGGAATGTTACATTCTGCAACTTCTACAGTGAATGTCCATTTTGGAGTTCATGGGAGCTACTGCAATCACTGAATGCAAATTAGTTTCCTTTGTTGGAAAATATTTATTTTTTTCTTGGACTTTTTCCTAATACTTTAAGCTCTAAAGCTTGTTCTTTGATATCAAAATTGCTTCTTGTTGAAATAATTATGTTCCAAAAGATTAGGTCTTTCTGAAAGACAGAAATAAATGGATTCTAATAGCACAGATAATATTTTCGGTAAAATATCTTTTTAACATAAATTTGCAGAAAATATAAAAATTTCTGCATGAAGTATATACAGAGAATCAAATCTAAATAAAACATTTAAAGATTTTCATTGAGGTCATGATCTTTTAAAGGATTAAATTATACATGATTGTAATATATATGGTATTTGATATTTACTTGAGAATTATTATTGCAATTATTAATATCCATGTTGGTCTGATGTTGATTAAAATTTTAATACAACAATAGGGCATTAAGGAGTTATAACAGATGGAAGGGTAAGCTTTTTAGCTTAATTGGAAACTATTAAATATGAAATAAACGGGTTCATTTTGCAGAATAAATAAAATACGTTCACAAACTCGCGAAGCAGAAATGGATGTATTAAAATTACTGGTTAGGGCAATCACAGCTCATATTCATATACGTGCATAACCTGAATATCCTTATGACATTGAAGATAAATGGGAAATGGAAATGAGTGTTTTTACAGAGGTTGGACTATAGTCGGACAAACTTGATAACACATGGCCTCATATTCCTCCTTCCTTTACTCTGGTCTGGTTGCAGTTTTATGGGCAATACATGTAGTAAATAAGCTGACACATAAGTTAAATTCCCAATCTTTCATGCTCTGGAAGAAAATTGTTCTTTCTTTACAGAATTTTATAAAGTAAAAATCTCTAAACTTTTCTTTTTCAGAATTCCTCAAAGTAATTATAGCCCCTTGCTTGCACATGGGACCCCCAGAATAGATCTTCAGATCATTGATTGGAAGAATGGACACACATAAAGAACACATACATAGGGAGTATATATAATCAAAGGAAGTGCAGAGAGGCAGACACGTGATTGGGCGTCCAAGCAGAGGGGCAGCTCATGCCTCTGACCCTGCGGTGATGTCATCATGGTACTGTCTCTGGGCCTGATGGCTAATGGGCATAGCTCTTTGCTGTATTTCCCTCAGGCATTGCACCTGGCCATCATACTTATTTTGCTCCCCACAGCACTTTTTCAGTTAGTCAACAAACATTTATTAAGTGCTCACTGTGTGCTGTACACTGTGCTAAGTGCTGGAGATACAAAGGAAGGCAAGAACACTCCCTGCCTTCAAGAATCTCATTTCTAATATAAATAACTAGTAGATAACAAGAAATCTGCAAAGAAGACCAAAGGTTCTGGCAGCCCAGGGACTGGGAAAGGTCTTCTGCAGAAAGCGAGACATGTGCTCAGTCTTGAAGGAACTATGGAAACCAGTGGGTGGTGGTTAGGGGATAGCCCCTGCAAAGGCAGGGAGTTGGGAAAGGTCTCGATTGAGGAACCCTAAGCAGGTCAGTGTAGCTGAATCATAGAGTGCATGGAACAGAACAAAGTATGAGCTTGGGAAGCTAGGAAGGAGCTGGTTATGATGATGGGTTATGTCAAACAGAGGAATTTATGTTCGATTCTGGAAGCAATAGGTAGCCACTGGAGACCACTGAGCAAGTGTTCAGATGTATCCTAAAAAAATCCCCGTGGCAGTGAGTGGAAAACAGATTAGGATGGTGAGAAGTTCAGGCAGGGAGATCAGTTTAGGAGACTCTTGCACTAGTCCAGTTGAAAGGTAATGAAGACCTGAGCTAGAATTGTGGCCATGTGTGTCGAGAGATGGGAATATGTATGAGAAATGTAAAGGTAGAAATCATAAAACTTGGCAGCATATTTGATGTGTGGGGTGTGTGAGAATGAGGACTAATGGATGGCATTGAGTTTGTGAGAATGACACCTGGGTGACTGGCAAGATGGTGGTATCCTTGACACTAATGAGAACGTTGGAAAGAAGAGAGTTTTGGGGGAATGAAAATGCATTCTTGGTGCAGAGTGAAGTGAGCAGAAATAGGAGAATATGTTATGATTATAATAACAATATTGAGAAAAGCAAATTTGAAAGACTTTACAACTCTGATTGCTACAGCGATCAACTGTGAGTCCAAAAGACTCAAGACAAAATGCTGAGACACACATTTTCAGAAAAGGCTAATGTGGGAATTTATTTTGCTGGACTGAACAGCTATATATTGAGAGCTTTATTTTGGAGATTTATTTTTAAGTGCAGGACAATGAGATAAACAGATTAATTTAAAATATTTATAGTTTCCTCTTTCTGGTGGTTCCCCCTATTGGTTCTAATTCTTACTTACAACATCACTACTGTGAAAATGTGTTTAATAGGAATGTATATGTATAGCCTATATTAGATTGTGAACTGTCTTGGGGAGAGTGGTGGGGAGGAAATGGGAGAAAAAATTTGAACTCAAAAGCATATGGAAGTGATTGTTGATAAATCAAAATAAATTAAGAAAAAATAAAAAAAGAGAAGAAAGATAATGACCTCTGTTTTGTATGTGTTGAGTTTGAGATGCTTACAGAATGTCCAGTTCCAGATGTTCAAGTAGCAGCTAGTGATGTATAATGTCCCTCTAGAGTCTAGAACTGGATATACAGACCAAGGAATCGTCTGTATAAAGATGATAATCAAAACCCTGGGAGCTAGGGATTTCACAAGTGAGACAGAAAAGAGGACTTGGAACAGAGTACAGGGTATCGCAGTTGTTTCACTCCTGGTTATTGTGTTTCTACTATATCACTACTGCGCACTGCCTCTCACCCTTTTATGGATTTCTCTGTCCTTGGCTCAGCATGTCACTCTACTCATCTCATAATCTTTGCTGATCAATGGTATTTGGTTCTAGCTTCAGGGATTCATCTTTTTAGGGCCACCAGCTAGCCTTCTCAGCCCTCGTTTACTGAAGTATGATGACTAGAGGCCTCTTACTTCAGACTGACAGCCATTTAGTGAAGTCACTAAGTAGCCCCAAGTAGCAGCTAAGATTAAGTCTTTTCTTCTCAATTCAGTTGTGTGAGGCAGAGATCACAGTCCTTTATCCCAGATAACCATCTGACTTAGGGTTAGAAATTCCTCAAATCCTCTTTGGTTCAGCATGAGTATAAATTTGAACCAGAACAAAAGGTAAGTAGAGAATAAGAGATTGGTTTTCTACCACACTAGTCTTCATTCTTACTTTTTTTCACTTATATCTGTGGACATCAGATCCTGTAGCTAGTGAAAAACCTTGCTATATATTATAAAATGTTTATGTGTATTATTCCAAATTTCATTTTTCAGGATGCTCCACCACCAGGCCACTATGATGTTCAAAAATCATTTGAGAAATCATATGGCAAACCTAAATACATGCCACCTCGCACTTGTATGGCCAGAAAAAAGCATAACTCTTTCCTCAGTTCAACTCCTAGGAGTTTAGAGATAAAGAAAGAAGGGCCAGGTAAGATCATTACATATCTTTTAAAATAAAACTGTAATTGGAAGTTCTATAAATGATTCTTTCTTTCTCTTCTTTGTTTTTACATATTTTCATAAGTTGATTATTCAGGTAATTAGTTTTTCTTTTTAAATATTTTTCTAATTACATGTAAAAACAATTTAACATTGTTTTTTATTTTTATTTTCAAAATTTCTTCCTCATTTGCATTCTTCCCTCCTCCTTGAGAAAGCAATCAACTTGATATAGATTATATATCTGTGATCAGGAAAAACATGTTTTTATATTAGCCATGTTGCAAAAGAAAACAGACAAAAAACCCGAAGAAAAGTAAAGTAGAAAAAGTATGCTTCAATCTGCATTCAGACCCCATCAATTCTTTCTTTGGAGGTGGGTCGCACTTTCCTTAACTTTCATAACTCCTTCAAGAATTATCTTAGATCATTGTATTACTGCGAATAGCTCAGTCATTCACAATTGATCATTGTACAATATTGCTGTTACTGTGTACAATGTTCTCATGGTTCTGTTCAATTCAATTTACATCAAGTTGATATAAGTCTTTCCAGATTTTTCTGAAACCATCCTGCTTATCATAGTAATTAGCTTTCTACTATACTTTGCAAATGTTAAAGAATATGCATATTTTTTACGTTGGAAGGACATAACTATCAACAGGAAATGTGTCAGTCTTTTTTTAGATAGATAGAAATTACTTCTTCAGGAGAGTTGATCCCAGATTTTAAAATTATTATTCAGTACTAAAAGTATAAATCTGCCTGAGGATGTTTTACCTTTTTTATGTCACCAGAGGAAATCCAACTGCCAAAGCTGATAGAAAAAAATGTATAATTCAATTTTTAAGTCTTACAATGTTATTGTAAATATATTGAAGTATTGAAATAAAAGTCAAGGAGGAATTTCCTCTTGGAAATGAAGGAGGTAAATAAGTTCAGTGGCAAAGACTTGGATTTGTTTAAAGGTTTGCCTATCATTAATTACGGCATCTAAAATAAAGTCTTCCATAGTTATCATGCCAGCCTTATAAGGCTATTTTTCTGGTCTGTTTTCAAGCTACAGATGAGTGATCTTGACTCTGCTACTTTTGACTTCTATAACCTTGAGAAAATGGCTTAACTTCTCTGGGCCCCAGCCTCCTCATCTGCATGATGATCTTAAGACTCTATAGAAAAAGAGATGTGCTTCTTAGTAAAGGTTTTGAAAATAATTTTGAAGAAACTTTAAAATAAAATCAAATTTTCTAGGGAGTTACAATGATCTCATAATCATTGTGCCCTTGTCATAGAGAGGAACCCCAGAACGTATCACCCCCCAATACTACTAATAGCACTGTAATTCATTTGTTTGTACTTCAAAAGGAAAACATTGAATTGTAAAGAAAAAGAAATAATGACTTTGCACAGTGATCTACTATTGTGTTGTCACCGCACAGCTAAATCGTTCCGTTGGGTCCTTCATGAGATTTTGAAGAAAAGGATTGAAATAGAAACTCCCTTTCCATCAGTTTTAAATTACACGCGTATGTGCACGTCTATATCCTGCCAAGAAAATAAGACTACCTGCAAAGACACTGATTCTCAGACCCTGGGTTTATTTTTCCTTGTCTTGCAGGAATGGTAGCCATACTGCCAACAAGAAGGCCCATTTTTAGTTGAAATTTAATTTAACCCCTGTCATCTTCACCTCCCTGACCTCCCTCTGTCTAGCTGTTGCTACTTATCCTTATTATGCTTGGATTCAGTTTTCCTGGGATCTGGTGCCTGAACTCCCCTATGAATTAACACCCCCCTTTCCTCCCCCTTTCCCTCATCTCTTTTCACCACAAGTGGTGTTCACCTTTAAGACAGCTCCAGTGACACAAATCCATGAACAATGTTTCCTCAGTGGGCTATGATGAACTTCACGTGACCTTAAGATTTCCTGCAGCTATTCATTCATTCATCCATAAATTATGAGATTTATTGATAGCATACAAACCAATGTGATGAATGAAAGATTCTGAGCATTCATGTGCCTTGACTTATTTTTTTAAAAATAATATTTTTTTTTCACCAATTACATATAAAAATAACTTTTGACATTTTAAAAAAAAATTTGGGCTCTAAACTCTCTCCCTCGCTCCTCTCCCCCCCCCAGATGATAAACAGTCTGATATAGGTTATACATTTGTAATCATGTAAAACATTTCCATATTAATCATTTTGTGCAAGAAGACAAATGAAAGAAAGAAAGACAAAGAAGAAAAGAAAGAGAAAAATAGTTTGCTTCAGTCTGTAGTCAAACAACATCGTTTCTTTCTCTGGAGTCACATAGCATTTTTCATCATGAGTCCTTTGGGATTGTCTTGGATCACTGTATTGCTGAGTTTAACTAAGTCATTCAAAGTTCTTCATCATACAATATACTGTTACTATAAACGATGTTGCTCTGGTTCTGCTCACTTTACATTGTATCAGTTCATGTAAGTCTTTCCAAGTTTTTCTGAAATCGTCCTGCTTGTCATTTCTTATAGCACAGTAATATTCCATCACATTTATATGCCACAACTTGTTCAGCCATTCCACAATTAATGGGTGTCCCCTTGATTTTCAATTCTTAGCTACCAAAAAGAGCTACTATAAATATTTTTGTACAATTAGACTCTTTTCCCCGTTTTCTTTATCTCTTTGGGATACAGACCTAGTAGTGATATTGCCAGATCAAAGAGGGTATGCACAATTTTGTCATAGTTTCAAATAGTTCTTCAGAATGGTTGGATCAGTTCACAGCTCCACCAACAGTGCATTAGTGTCCTAGGTTTCCCGCATCACCACCAACATTTATCACTTTCCTTTCTTGTCATATTAGCCAATCTGATAGGTGGGAGGTAGTACCTCAGAGTTGTTTTAATTTGCTTTCTCTAATCAATAATGACTTAGAGCATTTTTTCATATGACTATAGATAGCTTTTATTTCTTTGTCTGAAAACTACCTGTTAATATCATTTGACCATTTATCAATTGGGAAATGACTTGTATTCTTATTAATTTGACTCAGTTCTCTATATAGTTGAGAAATGAGTTCTTTATCATAGATACCTGCTGTAAAAATTTCCCACCAATTTTTTGCTTTCCTTCTAATTTTGGTTGCATTGGTTTTGTTTGTGCAAAATCTTTTTAATTCAATATAATCAAAATTACCAATTTTACATTTTATAATACTCTCTGTATTTTGATTGGTCCTAAATTCTTCCCTTTTCCATAGATCTGGCAGGCAGTCTATTCTGTGTTCTCCTAATATGCTTATGGTTTCACCCCTTATGTCTAAATCATGTGTCTATTTTGACCTCATCATGGTGTACAGTGTGAAATGTTTGTCTATACCTAGTTTCTGCCATACTGTTTTCTAGTTTTCCCAGCAGTTTTATCAAATAATGAGTTTTTTGTCCCCAAAGCTTGGATCTTTGAGTTTATCATACACTAGATTACTATGGTAATTTACTACAGTGTATTATGTACCTAATCCATTCCACTGATCCACCACTCTAGTTTTTAGGCAGTACCACATTGTTTTGATTATGATTGTTTTATAATACAGTTTGAGATCTGGTATAGCTAGACCACATTTCTTCACATCTTTTTTTCATTGATTCCCTGAATATGCTTGTCCTTTTGTTCTTCAAGATGAATTTTAAAATGATTTTTCTATCTCTTTAAAATTTTTTTGGTAGTTTTGTACGGTACTGAATAATTATTATATATATGTGTATATATATATGTGTGTGTGTGTGTGTGTGGGTGTGTGTGTGTATACTGATGATTTATGTGCATTTATTTTATATCCTACAACTTTGCTAAAGTTTTTAATTATTTCAGCTATTTTTTTAGTTGATTCTCTTGGGTTCCCTAAGTATACCATCATATCATCTGCAAAGAGTGATAGTTTTATTTCCTCATTGCCTATTCTAATTCCTTCAATTTCTTTTTCTTCATTTATTGCTATAGCTAGCATTTCCAGTCCAACATTGAATTATAATGGGGATAATGGGCATCTTTGCTTCATCCCTGATTGAATTGGGAAGGCTTCTAGTTTATCCCCATTATAGATAATGCTTGCTCATGGTTTTAGATAAATATTACTTGTCATTTTAAGGTAAGCTTCATTTATTCCTATGCTCTCTAGTGTTTTTAAGAGGAATGAGTGTTGTATTTTGTCAAAGGATTTTTCTGCATCTATTGAGATAATCATATGGTTTCCATTTTTTTATAGTATTAGTTATGTTGATAATTTTCCTAATATTGAACCAGTCCTACATTCCTGGTGTAAAATCCTACCTGGTCATAGTATATGATCCTTGTGGTATATTGCTAGAATCTACTTGCTAGTATTTTACTTAATTTTTTTTTGCATTAGTATTCATTGGGGAAATTGGTCTATAGTTTTCCTTTTCTGTTTTAGCTCTTTTCTAATTTGCTTTTGAAAATCCCTTTTAAGCTCTTCCAGGGGGGACTGATTCACATTTTGAGTTATGATTTATATGTTGTCCTCTTCTTAGTTTGTGCCTTAATCCTTTGTGTCACCATAGTAACTTTCTATAGTCCAGTGTTTTTTTCTTTTTTTGCTCATTTTTTCTCCCAGCTTTGTGACTTTGTACTTTTATGTGAGAGTTGGGCTGTGCTCCTGCACTGTCCCAGCTTCTTGTTCCAGGACCCAGGGCCTTGCAGGCTTGCACTGGAAGGGGCCCACCCTGCTGCCTTTATTGGGGTCAAGGCCCCCTTGTTGGTCTTCCCTGGGTGTGGGATTTTGCTTCTGGCCTGCCCAGGAATGGGGCCTTGCTGCTGGCTTACTACGGAGGGCCTCTTTGTTGGCCAAGCCTGGGGGCAGGGTCTGATCAACAGTTGGAGTAGGGCCTTGCTGGTGGCTTGCGATGGGGGCTTTGCTGGGCTGCTGGGCTGGGACTACTGGCTTGCCTCGAAGGTGGACTGCTGACCATCCACTGGATTCCCCTTACCCTGCAGTGAGACAGACAGACCTTTTCTGCTGTGTTGGTAATTGCTTCCCCTCTCCTAAAGTGGTTCAGAAGCAGTTTTCAAGGTGGTTTGGAGGGGAATTTGGCAAGGCTCCAGGGAGCGCTTTCTTTACTCCTCTGTCCTGGCACCAGAAGTCACAGCAATTTATTTATACACAAAGTGACCTAGATGGTTCAGCAAGAAGCTGACTCAATAGCTTTGTTCTGCCAACAGATTATTCATCAACTTATCATGTAACCTTAGGCAAGTACCCGAGCAACTCTGTTTATCAACATTCTGTTTGCAAATTTTGGATCATGTTTGCTATATCCTTAATCTCTCATGTAGGTTGTGAAGACTGATGAGACAATAGTACTAAATTACTTTTAGAACCTCTGAAACTGGGCAGAATTAGTCTTGCTGTAATCTGAAACATGACGTAAGTTAAATGTCATGCCAACATGGACTTTGAGAAAATTCTGGGAGAGGAAGGAAATGCAAGTTAAAGGATTAGTGATTTGTTTTTCTGAATTTACAGACATTGTTACAAAGTTAAGTGCAAATTGGGTCATAATTTTTTTCTTTCATTTTATATATACCTTCATTGATTACTCAACATACTATAGGAAAGGGATATTTATAATATTTATTAATATCAGCAGTCTATTCTATTTCTCATTCTGATTCTTGAAGTGAATTAGAATAGAAAGCTCATATACATTTATCAACATTGTAACTTATTTAATTCCCTGGTGTTATTAACTGATGCTATGATATGTAATGTTTTATTTCTTTTGGGCTATATTTAAGTATCTTCCTTTGCTATAAAAGTATTTCAGGGATTTTTAAAACTCCCAAATCTCTTAAGATATATTGCACAATCTGACTATACCAAAGATTAGCTAGATGAGCAGGGATGATTCACTTAATACATGTTTTAATTGGTCATTAAAATGGACCTTCATTTTGAAACTGTGTTAAGTTTAGTATATCAAGTTGTCTATACTCAAGTGTCATATTAGTATCTTTCTAATTGGATCATTTATCATTTTTATTGATTTTTAAGTTAAGTTTTCTGGTTGATAAATCTTACAAGTATTTCTTGCTCCTTTTAAATATTATATATGGTCTATTGACATCTTTCTATATAACAATGAAAAGAGATCTTTATTCTGACATATCTCTTTTGTATTCTTAATGAAACCTGACCAAGTAAGTGCTTTGTGCTCTTTAAAAATCAATGCTACATAAATAAAATATACAAGAATAATAGCTATATTTGGTCTGTTTTATTCTTATATTTGTAATATAAATGGTGCATACTAGTCTCATTTCATGTTCTTAGACATGAATTGTTAATCAGGAATTATGTTTCCTTCTTTATTTCAGAATTAGGAAGTTTGATTTTGGTTTGACTTGATTGTAGAAGACACTCATGGGAAACACATTTATATCCCTAGGACTTTGGGACAAAAATTATTCTGTCATTCAAATTACATATTTTATTCATTTTGTAAATTTGAAAAACATTTACATTTCTGACTTAACAGCTTGCTAACAAAATGAAATATTGGATTGCAGAATTCATCAGATGACTTTTGTCATTTTTGAGAAACCTTTAAAACTTTTTTGAGTAATGCAAGTAATGCCCTTTCATTTATTTTTCATTCATAGTTTTTAGTTCTGGACATGATATTGAAAATAAGAGCATAATGCTTTTATATTAATGCTCAATTAAAACCCCAGAAATTTGCAAAGTTTAGACAGTTATCTTCCTGTGTTTTGTTTTGTTTTGTTTTGTTTTTTACAGCAAAGCTCTTCCTGAAAAGGGGGAGATGGTGTAGATGATTCTTTGTGAGTACTTCTTGTCTGAAGATAATGAAAACACTTTAATTTTCATTATCTCAGAGCTATATGCTGTAAGCATTTTGAATCCCAACTTACTTGAAATCTTCAAAGAAGGTTTATGTCAGCTTATGACCAGTAGTCTTGATTGTTTTTCTTAGGAACCCGTTTCCATTGTCTACATCTTTCCTGCTGTAGTTTAAGTTGATTGTTTCCAGGCCCTTCTTCAGAGGAAACATCATAGCTGCTTCTTTTGTAATGTATGAAAATTGTTATTAAATTTACCCTTAGACTTTTCTTTGACTCAAATATACCCCAATTGTATATCCTTTCCATAAAGGACGTTTCTGAAATTTTAAATTCTATTTTTCCTTACCGTAGCGTATGTAAATATTATACATATAGATACATACATATTGTGTGTTAGTTTGTAATTGCTTTACTGTAGCTCACAGTAGACAGTACAGAATACAGAGGGTACATGTTAGAGTATATATGTTGTAATGTGGGTAGCTAGGTTGCGCAGTGGATAGAGCGCTGGGCCTGAGTCAGGAAGCCTCATCGTCCTGAGTTCAAAACTGTATTCAGACTCTTACTAACTCTGTGATCCTGGGCAAGTCACTTAACCCTGTTTGCCTCAGATTCCTCATCTGTAAAAATGAGCTGGAGAAGGAAATGACAGACTATTCCAGTACCTTTGCCAAAAACAAAAAAAAATATGCAAAAAACAAACAGAACAAAACAAATGGGACACAACTAAAAATGACTAAACAGCAGCAATGCTGTAATGTGCTTCTAGAGGAGCAGAATCATCTCAATATTGACATTCACGTTATAAAAGGAACCAGAGAAAAGAAGTCGCAGCTCAGTAGACAACAGACTGCATCTATTCTTGGAGAGACAAAGGAGTTGATGGAGATCGTATCATAGACCCAAATATTTCGCCATCTCTTACTGAGCTTCAGAGCTGACCCTTTGGTTGTCTCTCTGCCGCTCGGCACCAGGTCCCTTTGGGTGTTGGTTCTTAATCTAATAAGAGAATGTAGGAGAATGTAGGAAAACGTAAACTGCTTGAGGCCAGAAATTCTTGTGGCCTTTCTATTTGAATCCCCAGAGTTTGGCACAGAGTGAAGATTTAATGAATGATTACTAATTGAATGATTTCTGATTTAATAAATGAGTTCTAGTCCATTCGTTCAGCACGAATATAAGTATTTATGAAAGTCACCTTGAAAATAATTGTAGCTGTAGTGAAAATGTGCAAAGAATTCAATGTTACCTATAAAATTAATTCCATATACAGTCTGAAATTCAGTAATTTTGTAGCAAAGCCAAGAAATGGTAAGAAGGATGAGAAACACATGATTTGAGAAAAAAGGATGAGAGAAAGCTCACATTTTTATATCATTAACCATTTCTTTGAGAAGAGAATTTGTAAGCACTGACTATGGCAAATGCTATAAAATACCATATTCATAAAAGTAAAATGTATATCTTAATAGATAGGAAAAGTCTTATTACTGTATGATAATTGTCTCTCAAATATTTGTGTCTATACAGTCATATCATTGACTTGTCAGAACAAGGTTGAGAATTAATATAAAAGAGTAAGAAAAATTAATATAAAATTAATTATAACATTAATATACAAATTAATATAAAAGAGGAATAAAAAGGACGACAATGAAAAATTATAAAATACAATTGAAACAGCTCAATTTGGAACTTAAACAAATTAGCAGTAAAAATAGAAAACAGACCACAGCAATCGTAATTTTTGTTATTTAACTGATGTAAATCTCTTTCCACAATAAGACCAAAAGATCTGGGAAGGCACCTTAGTTAGCAAGTATTTGACTTAACTTGCAAAGTTGCAGAGAAATGACCGTCAATACTGGTTTAGAATATAAACTGTTTCATGAAATCTCACAGAGGATTATGGATGAGTAAAAACAGTACCAAAAGCAGAGAGAAGCAGTGGAGAGTAAAAGAAAAAAGAAGATCCAACTAAGCAAATATTCATTCCGAGTGTATTTAAATAACCAAAAATGTGGCCCAGAAAACATTAACAACTACTAAACTGTATATCTTCTTTCTCACAAATATAAAATGAAGATGCTAGTCAATTATACACATCCTTGATGAGGCTGTTATTAATAAGGAGGCTTTTGTAAGTGATATTGAACAGTGGACCACTTTGTTTTTTTACCATTTCATAATTGACTGAAAGATGTAGAGAATATGTGATGTCATTGTGCCTATTATGAAAAAGCAGGTAATTCACTAGAGCAAAATACTGCCTAAAGACTCTTTTTCCCAGTAAGTATCTCCCACCTGAATAAAAATGATTAAAGATTCCTTGAAAAACACAACAGAAATAGCCCTGTTCAGTAATCCTAGAGAATCATTAGCATCAGACAAAGTGTAAAGCAAGGAAATGTGTGCTGGCCAAAGGTGTGCACCATTGTGATTGGGAAGTTTCACTTTAGAATAAAAGTTGAACAGGAATTTTTGTGTATGATGAAGTTTTCCAGATGCTCTCATTTGTAGATGACTTTGTGCTGATTGTATCCTGCAATGTAATGAGCCTCCTGAATGAAATCCATAACCATTCCAAACAGTTTGTCCTGACCATTGACACAGAAAAGACCAAATGAATGAAGAATGATGCCTTTTTTCCCTTGTTATAACATGCTTTTTGATAAACATTCTATGAAATCCATCCATCAGTATATATGTGTATATATATATATACACACACACATATATGTACATGTATATGTGTGTATACACACATGTATATATATTATATACATAATATATAATTATATATTATGTATATGTGTGTGTATAGATATGTGTGTGTATCTATATCTATATCTATATCTATATCTATATCTATATCTATATATATATGGATGGATGGGCTCTGTAGAGTGTTCATCAAAAAGTATGTTACCCAAAGAAAAGAGTGAAGCAAGGATGTCAAATTATAATATATATATATATAAAATTATCAAATAATTATGTATGTGTATATATATATGTATGTG